TGTAATCTTGATTTTCTTGAATCTTTCTTGACATAAAGGCTAGATTTACTGATTGCACAACTAACAGCTGTCTTGTTAACAGATTCCACCACTTGTGCTATGGTTCTATGCAGTTACTTGAGCGCTACCAGTTTCTAGGTCATCAGTTTTTGGTAAGTTAGCAGTTCTGCCATACTCCTTCCATTTCTTTGCAACATCATCTCTGACCTTTGTACTGTGCTTAATGGTCTTCATGATTATGTTTGGTAGCTAATGTCCTCTAACAAACCTCTGAGGATGTCCTACAACAGATACCATTCATACCTAGATTAAATTACATTCATATGGATGCTGTTTACCAGGTAGGGGACTACTGGGGGCAATTTGTTACGCTGAATTTTACTTATTTGAGGTATCACAGTACAGGAGGTTGAATACAAATACCATATTGTTCAGTTTTTAATTTGTAAAAAAGTTTTGATAACCACTTTTCCTTTTATTTCCACTTTTTATGCATTACTCAGTGTTGGTTTATCTTGAGATCTCTGAGGATACACAAAAAAAGAGCTACTAGATTCCTTTAGAGATGTACATAGGCTTATTTGGGAAGGTTACAGATTTTGAGGGCATTTTTGTGGCTAATGTTCAATTCCAAAGGTTTATATCTATTCTTCTTCATCTGCTTCTCTTCTGAAATGCTCAGGAATCCTTTTGCACTCCCCTACTTTCCAATATAAACAAGGAACTTGCTATTTTACATCCACTGACTGGTGGTGGGCTAGTGTCGAGAAAGACTGGCTTGGAAACATTTTGACCCCAGGTGGGTGTGGGTGTGGGCTTCAGTTTGTTGTTTTCAGATGTCTGCATGACAACAGGAAACCTGAACCATCCTCATTCTCTCTCAAAGACAGAGGCAGCTGTTTATCCTAAAAACAGCGTAGACATACTTTACCGTTTTCCATGGGGGTGGTCCACACTGCCATAGCAATGAGCAGCAGGTTTGTTTGAAAAGCTAACACAAGCCTTGTGGTGGTGCTAGTGACTGACGTCAGTGGGGTGAAGGTGGCATGCGCCGACCCCAAAAGTATCCGCAGCGTCTGGGTCCAGGCCGGGCCAGACGCTCTCACTGCCAGTTGTTTCCAGCTCACCGTACCAGCCAGGCCCTGAGAGGACCCAGAGCCCGGGACCAGAGCAGAGAGGAAAAGAACCACTTCCACCAAAACAAACCTGTGCTCTCCATATCCACTTTATAAAAACAAACATCTTCCTGGAGTTTCTCCTGAGCAGCTGCTGTTTGTTTTTAGTCAGGTTGACAGTAAGAAGTGAAGTCAGCTTGGGCGCCAGAGAGAGAGGAATATGGGGCATTCCAGGATAATTGAATAACGGTGCAGACGTGTGTGTATGTGTGTATATGTATGTGTGTGGATGGCACAGATCAGCCCAGAGTGGCTGAGACAGATGGGTTAGGAAGTGATCTCAATAAGACAGCTCTGCTCAGATGAATTTGGAAGAGATCCGATGAGCCAGCTTCATCTGGTGTGTGTGTGTGTTTCTGTGTGTGTGTGAAGCAGTGAAAGGTGAGTCCCCATAAATCACCCGAAAATCTTTGGGGTGTCACAAAGGATAAATGTGTGTATGGGTGTATGCGTGTGTGTGCACCTTCTGTACTACACACTCTGAAATTCTGAAATACAGGGCCAGGACAATAACAGGATGTGTCCTTCCCAAGAAATGCCACAAATCATCAAGTTATCAAACATGGAGACAGTCATCATAGATATGCCATTGTTCCTCCAAGAGTGGCTTTGCCTTTGCATGCAAGAAAACTCAAGTAGCTCAGCAGCAAGTATGTGACAGCAGTTACATAATCCACAATAGAGCAAGAAACCTGTCCAAATACATCCACCAACATGTTACATTCCAAGTAATATAACAAAGATTTGGATACGTCCGTTTTTGAACTTATGTGATCTTTAAGTTTATTTCAAGACTTTTGTATATCAGAACAGCTAAAAATAAAAATAAAAATCATTTCTGGATCCTTTCTTTAAAATTAGTAAATATTTGAGCAAAAAAAAAAAAACAACACATAAAAGAGTCTTTATTTAACAAGGATTAATCCACAACTCAGACGCGGCATTGAGAAAATTCACTGCATGACAAAATGTCCAGGAAACCCACCAGCAGCAATATACTGAAGAGCTTTTTTCTGAATAACCTTATCAGCCTCTGAGATCTTTGAAGAGGAAACTTGGCCCTCTTCTCTGTATAGTGCTTCCCTGCATAGAGGCTTGTAGACTTTTGTTTCTGCAGAGCTCTAAAGTCCAACCATAAGATTTTAATCAAGTTGGAGTCCAGACTTTAACCAATCACCCCTAAGCTAAATCATGAATTATTAACAATTGGCCTTTAAAAACCTAACCCATACGCAGGCCTTCTTAATGGTAGACCTGTAGAATTAAGAAATTGTTTAAATGGAATCTATATGACACAATGAAGTAGACTAAATGCTTTGAAAGTGGAAGACATCATGGCCTGATGTACTTTGAAGAACAAATGAGAAACAAAACTAAGGCCACATCTCAGTCTAGAAAGAGTTTCAACCTCGGAAAATTACTCTTAAGTGTGCATCAACAACTCTCCCCGACCAACATCTGAACCCCTGTAGACCTCATTCCTTTAGTTATAATCAGTCTTCATGATTCACCAATAAGAAAGAAACTTGGCAAAAATGACCTTCATGGGACGGTTCCAATTCAAAACCCACTGCTGACCCAAAAGAACACAAAGACCCGTTTCATACTTACTAAAAACATCTTGATAATCCCCCAAGAATTTTTGCCAAATGTTATGATGATTGATGAAACTGAAATGTTTTTAAAAGAATATGGCTCATGGTAGATGTTGTGGAAAAACTCACTCAGTATTTCAGAACAAGTAAATAAAATCTACAGTCAAACATGGTGGTGGTGGATTGCTTTGGTGTTTCAGGGTGTTCTGCCTTGAACACCAAAGACTCCTGGACCATTACCATCCTTACCATCAGTTCATGAGCTCAAGCCCAAACATACTTATGCAGCACTACAATGACCCAAAACCAGATGATTTTTGACAGTGTAGGGAAACGTTCTACCACACAGAGGCAGAATGCAAATGCTTGATGGCAGCTGTTGCCTCTAAGAGTGGCGCATCTAGTTATCAGGCTTAGGGGTTGAACTTTTTAACATGCAGTCAGGCTGTTTTGAATTTGCTGTTTCTGCCTACAATGAGTGAATGTTATAAGACACATGTTGGTTTGGACCTTTCCCAATGGCTCTTAACAAATTTAATAACAAATGCTGCTGTAAGCTGTATTTTTTATTTTTTTTCACGTAGTACATTTTTATTCTACCACAGAATCACACTAAAAATACCAGTAATGTATTAGATCAATTTTTTGTCATTAAGTTGGAAACTGTCCTTTTATTTTCCATTTATTTTAATGTCACACAAAATGGAACATATCCATCTAATTTTCTGCAAAAGTTTTATGATTTTATTTTAAAGTTTAGAAACAGAAATAAAGCAATGTTTTTAAAATGAGACATTTCCATAAGCAGATATTTGCAAACAAAAAAAATATTTTTTTCTTTTCTTTTCCTTTTTTTTTTTTTAAAAAAAAAAAGATCTTCTAACATTTTTGGCTCTAAACACGTCTTATTTAACAGAACCGAAGTTAAATATTTCTCCTAGGGTTACAAAGGTTGCAAACACCTGTTCTAAAAACAACAAACCACCCTGTTTAGAGATTACCGATCTTTTTTTCTTTTTTTTAAATCATTCTAATCAGTTTTACTGGGACTGGAAATATTTGACGTTGTAAAGCAAGAAAAAAAAAAAAAACATCTCATCAGAGCCACGTTTGTCCCGCGTGTCTTTCTCTCGATGTTTGCCCCGCTCAATATTTGTCCTCGCTCGACTCCGCGGAGCGACGCACGCGCGTCTCTGCAGCTGTCTGAGCGTGAGATAGCGTGTGGGAGGTGATGCTCATGTTACGTTGAAGTGGCGAAATCTGCGGCGAGGCGAAAAGAAACTGAGAGCGGGGGGCGGAGGGGCCTACGCAATGTGAATACATCAAATCCACCACATCCAGAGAGGTGAGATAAACAAAACGCTCTCGCTGCTGCGTGGCGTAAACTCCTGATCGGGTCACCGATCTGACCCGAGATCCTCACTTTTGTTTTTCTTTAAAACACACATAAGCTGCTGTGATGAATCAGAATGACCTATATGGTTATAAAGACGCCCCGAAGACGGTATGTAGCCACTCTGTGTGGCTGACCTTTTCATGCAACCAGCTGAAAATGTTTCAGAGATAAGCTGGCTGTTTTACAGTAAAAAGCCTCCTGCTGGATTTTCCCAGACTTGTACACAGAAGCAGTTTTAACCTTTTCTTGTACAGCTCTGCCATCTGTTTACCTGGGGGGCGGAATAATAATGCTGAGGTTTCTCTAGACACCCACGGCATTACCAAGAAAACTGCTGTTTCTCTGCCCGTTCCTTTAAAATTATTATTACTTCTCATTCTGAAACTTTTTTTTTTCTCCCTTGTCATCATAAAAGTGATCAGATGAGTCAGCGCGCTATTGTTGTTCTGTTGTGAATTCCAGTAAGGATCTAAGAGCGTCACATTCAGAAAGCACTGACCCAGCTTCCTCTGTTGCTGGACTGTATTACAGGAACAACGAGGCTGCAGCATACCCCCCACCCTCCATTCTGATGACCCCAGGTCCCATGGCGCCCGGCGCCCCCTCCGCCTCGCTCTCCACCCCGCCAGCACCATGCACTGCTCTCCATGTCAACATCAGGCCTCTGTAACGTGGGACGCGCCGCACGTTGCCCTGTGTGGAGATGATGCAGGATGCAGATAAGGGTGGCTGTTGTTGAGCTAAAAAGGAAAAAAAGCGATGGCGGTCAGACTGGTTTCTTGTAAGTATTCCATAGTGTTTGTTCCCCCTTCGTCTCAAGTAAGGAATTTGTATTTGGTGTGGAAAAAAACAAAACAAAACAGCAGTGGTGGAAACATACTCATATTTACAAGGGAATACCAAATCCAAACATACCCTACTTCTGGTGTGTTTACTAAAGGGTTGTTTCCACATTTTCTCATGTTTACAACCACAAACATTGTATTTAATGGGAATTCATGTAAAAGACCAACATAATCAATCAATCACGTTTATTTGTATAGCACATTTCAGCAATAGCAGTGCAATAACAACAACAAAATGTTTCACATTTTTGCAAATATAGTTCAGATTTTATCCCCTTTTTAGGAAGCAAGCAAAATTACAAACACAGCATTTAAATCATAAAAATGAACGCAAACACAAATGCCATTCAGTTTGGTTTGTTTATACAGCGCCAATTCACGACAAATGACATCTCAAGGCATTTTAAAAAAAATATTTCAATTCAATTACACATTTTCCAACTGATTCGAAATATAAAACAGTACAGGAAGCAGTGGACATTAGAAAAAAAACTGACACTGTACATCAACCTGAACACACCATCCCATGCTGAGGCATGGTGGTGGCACCATCATGCTGTGTAGTTGTTTTTCTTCAGCAGGAAACCTGGTCTGAATTTACAGGAAGATGAATGGAGGTGAAGACAACGCCTTCCCATAAGATGATGGCCCTTCATCTCCAGCTTTTTTTTTCTTAAAAGGCAAAAGAAGTGCAAAAACGTGAGTTATTGCCTTAAAGACCTGCAGCTGCAGCAAAAGTTGGTAAAGTATCGACACCTGCAGACTGCAAGCTACAGCTCGCAGGTATTCAATACTGCATATTTTGGTACTGATCTGATACTAAGTAAATATATCGCCAGTATTGCCCATATCGATACTGATACCGACACTTTTTATTTCCGTTTAAATTTAGGTGGAGTTTTTTGGGTTTGTCCTTTGGATTATTTTGTTCAACCTAGAACAGAATTTGGATGAAATTTATAGGCGTCTACAAATACTTTACATATTACATGTGGACATTACAAACTAACAATAGAAAAACAAACAAAAAAAAAAACTACAAAGTGTGAAAAATTGTCCTTTAAGAGCACATCAAAGCAAAATCCTTTTGAAGTAGAGTTGAGAAACAACAGAACAAAAATAAAGTCTTATACTGGTACCATTTTGGCATCAATATTATTGATATTTGGAATCAATTTCAATATTGTATGAAAAAAGTTTGAGTAAATGTAAAATTAAAAATCTGCAAAAAAAAATTTCATTCGATTAATTGTCAGAATAATCGGTAATCATTAGTTGCAGCCCTGATAACGACCATTAGACACCGTTTGAAAGTGATGCTAGAAAATCTTCACCACATTTGGTGAAAAAAAAATTGAAAATCATGTGTTACTTTTCTCCTACTTGTGGGCAACTTTGCGTTGACAGATTGCGTTTGCGCAAATCCTTAAAACAACTTTATCTTTAATTGCAGTTGTATGGTGTAAACAAAACCCCAACCTTTAATAGTTTCCAGACCAACCAGAACCCATAACAAGCCCTTTGAAATAAAAGTACCTGTAGCTTTTTTAATGTATGCCTTATTTATCAGTTTCTAGGAACTTCTAGGACCCGTATTTATCTTGCCACCACACTCAGCCAGCGGGATGATGAGGGAGGTGAGAACACAGTCTGCAGGGTTCACTGCTAGAAAACTCTGTCTTTGGGTCACCAAGTCTCAGAGTCTCCACTGAGTTGAAATAATTGTTAACTAATTTAGTAATCAATCAATTAATGATCGTCCTAATAACAGTCCTCACAACAGCCATTAGACACACCAATTGTATGTTTGCAAGTGATGATAAAATGTGGATTTTGCTCAACCTTACCTGGAAGGTTAACTGGAACTGCATAATCTGGTCAGATGAGATTCAGATTTGACTAAACCTTCCAGGTGGATCGGCTATGAAACAGAGGATATACTTCATGATTACTGTTAAGCACAGTGGAGGATCTGTAGGTCTGTGGGGTGTTTCTCCAATAAGCACCTGGGAATGGATAAATGGATTTCTTGTATTTGTCATCTGCTTGGTAACTCGGTGTGTGGATGCGTTTTCATGTTTGGAGAGAGAAAAAAAGGGAAGTACCGCATGTCCACAACACAGGCCTTGCATTGCAAAACAACATGAGCAGTATGAATTCAAACGTCAGACGCTAATCAGAAGCCATCTAGGAGCAGTTTGTGGGAAGCCAGGTCGGTTGGACATGTTCCTGCTGGCTCAGTGTTTTGCTCCGTCAGAGGGGAAACGTGACCGCCGTGCCTACGTGCGGCTCAGGCCGCCACCGAAGATGCCATGCCTTGACTCTACTCAACCGTGTCTCAGTAGTGTCTTAGCAACAATAGGTCAACTCTACTGTATCTGTTTACGTCTTATTCCCTCTCCCCTTCCCAGTTTGCACCAGAAAGTTCAAAGAGTGAACATTTTTATCCGTTTCATTTGCCAAATGAGGCCTCCGGAGATTCTCGCCGGGGAATTGAAATTTTTGACATCATGAAGCGAAAACGTAAGATCTGGGTTTACTTTGAAGTCATGTTCACACGGGGTCCATTAAGCCAGCATGTGTTATCGGTTTCTACACTATCTGCTCCACAGACCGGCTTTTGATGTTTGGCACATGGGGCCTAAATTATTGTGAGGGGGATTTTGCAGGTTTCAGGAGGTCTGCAAAAATGTTTTCTCAGTCTTAACCCAACTGGTTAAGGCTTGGCTTTGACAGAATCTGATGTTTTATATTTAATAAAGATAGAGTGAATTACAAAAGGATTTATACACCTTGAACATTTCCACACTATGTATTTACTTTAGATTTTATGTGACAGAAAATTGATACATGGCTGGAAATATTTTACAGGTAAAATTTTAAAAAGTGTGGCGTACATTTGCATATGGACCCCCAGTTAAAGCAAATATTACTGCACATCTCTCTGGCAGGGCTGAAATACTGAGAGATGGCATGATGCTACCACCACCAAGATTCACCTTGGGTATGGTGTGTTCGGTCAGTTCTCTGTTTTTGCATTTAAGTCAAAAACACTTTTTTCTGACCAGAGACACTGGAAACAAACAGTACGTCCTATGGTTTTCTTTAAAAGTTGGCTTTATGTTGCCACTTTTCTATAAATTTCAAATATGTAAAATACATTTTATCTGAATTGTCAATCTATGTAGCTCCAGTTATTATAGGTCTACTTCTTTGAATATTTAGGCTTAGATTGAATTACACAAATATAAACACTGCATTAGGTGACTTTTTTAAGTTATTAATATAAGTGAATCCTAAATGTACATTTTAACAGCTTCCAAGCCTAGATTCAAACATAATACCACGAATTTCATTTCTTTATTAATACAGTCTAGTATTAATCTAGTTTAATTCATAACCACTTCTGCTCGAAATGAAAGGCCTGCTACTTGAATTTACTTAGCACTTCCAAACAGCTTTTAAGTTGTTTTGCGTTGCAATAGCGACATCTTGTGGGCAAACCGAAGACAATGACAGCCACGGCCTTAACTCGTTCAAAAATGTGTTAAGTCACCAGCGGGTGTCGCTGTTGCGCCGTCTCCAAAGCTCAGCACAGGCAGCAGAAGTCAGCTCAAAGCAAAAAATTTCTGCCACAGCTGACTCGGACGCCATCTTTGTCGCGAACATAAACAACATAGGAGATTCGCGTTGGCATCTTGCTGTACCGCTGCTGCTACACGGAACACGACTACAGTTCTTCCTAACGCGGAGTTCATCCTTTCAGCCGAAGATGTTTGCCGCCCTGGTCACCTGAGACACCTGACAGGTCGGTGGGACAACGCATGCCTATCGAGGTGCAGGATAGATGGCTGGGGTTAGTTTGAAGAGGTGGAAGCGGTTGTTGGTGTGCGCGAGCACGATACCATGACAACGGTGCGGCTTTCCTTATGAGCACATCCTGAAACGTTTCGGTAATGTCTGCTGCTCTCACCTGAATAATAAAAATAACGATGACCGGGGTTTTAAAGCATTGCAGACCCAGCATGAGCCCACACCGCCTCAGAGTGTCAACACGACCACAGCAGGCTAACTGGGCCGCTTGGTTCGTGTTGCCCTAGCTCGTTAAACATTCTGGTGCCTTTAAATCGCTCCTTGGTGCTGCGTGATTTGAATGAAGTTGTTTTGGTTTATACAGAGATGGAGATCCTCTGCGGATTTCCTTACCGGGAGGGAGCGGAGGTGTAGAGGGGGCGGGGAGAGCCCCCAACCCACAGAACTGAACGGATGGACCAAGAGTACGAAAGACGGTTGCTGAGGCAGATCAACCACCAGAACCTGCCCACAGAGCGCCGCATGACCAAGGTGAGCGGACAGCAGGGTCACTAATGCACACAGTTTGGTATTAGGTTTGCCATTAACACAGACTTCACACTGTGCTGAACCTCCTCCCAGAGTTCCTAAACAGTCTGGTGGAAAAAAGGCTTAGAAAGATTAGAGTTGTTTTTTTATAGGAAAAGATATTACAGCATAAAACTTTGTCTTTCTGAGCATTATTCCCCGTCTCATTGTCATCTATTTGTTTGTCAATCCATATTATTATCCATTCATCCATTTACATGTCTATTTAGCATTTAGCAAAGATAGTTTTATCATCATTTCTCTTTTGTAACCCTTTGATAAACACTTAATTTTTTTTATACATTCTAGATTTATATATTCGTTTACTAGGCTTTTTTTTTTAACTGGGACCTCAGTCTGAATTTTGTTCCCTAAATATCTAAATGTGAGCTGATATGACAAAAAGTCCACCTAGTCATCCTTCCGTCCTTCTTTCCGTCTGTTTTTCTATCAAACCGTGGTGTTTGGTCCTGACAGGAGGGTGTGTATCCTGTCCTCAGTAACCATGCTGGGCTGTCTGTTGGTTTCCTAGAGTTTAGGAGCAGCCTGCAGCCCTCTTAGTGTGAAGTCAGGGGACCGTTTCATTCCCACCCGCGCTGGAAGCAACTGGAGCATCAACTTCCACTATGCCAACGTAAGAGCTTTATGTTGCCTGTCAACTGTGCAAGCTGTTCATTTAACAAAACAAACAAACACTGAGCTCTTTGACCAGTCGTGATTTGGCTGTAGATGCTTCATGGATTTTCTCTGCAGGAGAACTGCCGCTCTCCCGCCCAGAACCACAAAGCGAAAGACGCCAGCTCCGACTCCAGCAAAGGTCAGAACTCCGCCCCTCCCCCTCGCTTGTCCAGCGGTCGTTGTTGATCCCTGATCCGCTCCTTTCCGTTTACCGTGACTTTCCTCCTTTAGATGCCGTGGCCTACGCCGCCCTGCTGAGGAACGAGCTGCTGGGTGCTGGCATCGAGACGGTGGCGGAGCCTCACGCTGATGACCGGCGGCACGAAGTTCTCGCTCCAGATTCCTGCGGCCTTTTCAGGGTGCAGATCACCATCGAATCCTCGCCAGACGGAGCCGCTTCAATCTGACTGGAAGGTGTAACTCTTTGTCGTCTTCGTGTGTGTGTGATCTCTGCAGTACGCTGTCCACACGAAGAGAGTGCCTTGCGATGGCGGTAATGAAGTCTCCCCCTTCTCACTTTCTCCACTCAGCAACAAGAGGTAGCAAACGTCCCACCGGACATTTACTGGAGTTTCTGTTCAGCTCAGATAGTTTTTTCTTTCTTTCTCTCTTTGACGGTTCTCTAGTCACAAGCTCCTCCGTTCGCCCCGCAAACCAGCGCGAAAGATCTCCAAGATCCCGTTCAAAGTCCTGGACGCTCCGGAGCTGCAGGACGACTTCTACCTCAACCTGGTGGACTGGTCGGCGGGAAACCTGCTGAGCGTGGGGCTGGGGGCCTGCGTCTACCTGTGGAGTGCCTGCACTAGCCAGGTCAGACCGGAGCAACACTGCTCAGTAAAAAAGTTGATCGATCGGTTAATGATTAATTGATAAGCGCCCATTTTCTTAAAAATGTGAGTGAATAAACAGGAAATTGTGGTTTTCTCGCATTATTAACCTTAGACATGCATATAAAATCTAGCAAAACAAGAACCTGTTAGGTTGCTGAATAGAAAAATAAAAGATGACAGGAATATGTGAAACAATGAATCCCCATGAACACAGAGTTGGAAGTACTCTCTGCAAATGTTCAAACCTGGCTCCATAAAGTGCATTATTAATTCACGACAGTGCTCTAAGTCAGCCTTGCTTATCGGAATCATGGTTTGTTTTTTTTCCATCATCATTTTTCTGTTATTCTCTGTCCCCTGTGATGATGTATTCAGGCCGTTGTAGATAGGAAAATAAAGCAGTACATTTCTGCTAAAATTAGTAGAAAACTCAAGATTAATCTCAGAAATTTTCTAGAAAAAAAAAAAACGTGGAAGTTTCTGAGTTTGAAAAGTCAAAAGATTTGGGGAGAAAAAACTCAATGAGCAACAAGGTGAAACTTAAGGAGCTGGTTGTTCTGTTATATTTCAAAACAGAACCTCATGAAGTTTGGTTGACATTCCAAACTCAACTTTGTGTGGACCATTTCTCTTTCACGTTCTGATATGGCCCTGCCATCTTTATTTCTGTACCAACTGACTCTGCTTAAGGACGACCTTTGCTGTTTTGCAGCCAAACTAGAGCTTTAAAAGAAGGTCTAAGTGGATGTTTTTATTTATTTGATTAGAACAACTCTTAATCAAATAAACCATTAATTGAAAATTAATTGTAAGTCGATTATGAAAAGATGTTCAGTATTTAATTTAAGGTCCTTGTTGAATGCAGAGGCAGCTGTTTACTATCGTTTTAATGGCTCGTTTTATCCATTCGTTCTGCCACAACCGGCTCTTTCAGGACATTCATGATATTTATCATGAATGATCCACAATGAAAATGCGTTTGATGTAAATCCAACTGTGACATATAAAACAGGTTTTGTATATAATAATAATAATTAAAAGCTTCTTTCTGATCCCAACAGGTGACCAGGTTATGTGACCTTTCAGTTGATGGGGACTCTGTCACATCGGTGTGTTGGAATGAGAGGGTGAGGATCCTGAGCGTATCAATCTGCTTCTTAGATGTGTCTGAGGAGAAAAACTGACTCTTTATTTTCCTCTGCATGGCTCAGGGAAGCCTGGTGGCCGTAGGAACCCACAAGGGTTACGTTCAGATCTGGGACGCAGCCGGAGGCCGGAAGCTGACGTGTCTGGAGGGCCACTCTGCTCGAGTAGGTCAGTCCGGCCCCAACCGAACATCGCCGGGCCAAATGACGCTCACTCAGTCAGAACGATGAGGTTTCTTGTTTGGAATCTTTGGCGCTGCAGGTGCGCTGGCGTGGAACGGGGAGCAGCTGTCGTCGGGGAGTCGGGACAGGGTGATCCTGCAGCGGGACGTCCGAACGCCGCCCGCCGCGGAGAGAAGGCTGCAAGGTCACCGGCAAGAGGTGTGCGGCCTCAAGTGGTCTCCGGACCACCAGCACCTCGCTTCTGGAGGCAACGACAACAAAGTAAGGCACCTGAAGCAGACTCTAGTAGAGATGCGATCTGATAGGAATATCTGTATCGGTCCCGATACTGAAAAAATTCCAGATTGGTGTTGGTGACAATGTGCCCGAGCCACAAGAACAGATCTATTCAGTCTAATTCTATGCTTTGTGCTCTGAGTGACATCATGCCTTATTATTTATTTTACATTATATTTAGAGTTCCTAATTTCACTTTCTGAACCATTTGAAACCATTTGCAGTTTATTTTTTACATGTTTGACCAAGCTTGTGAAGCTATTGGTGTATTTAAATGTGCTGTTCTGGTGCAGAGCTATCAGATAAATTTGTAATTCATCACATTTATATTTGTGGTTAAAAACGGAAACGTTTTAAGTTAAATCATCATTGTTGTTCTGTATCAGATCGGTGTCAGCCGATACTAAACCTTAGACAAGTGAAGCGAAAAAAGTGGACCGTTGAGTCTTTAAACTGTAGCAGAGTCAGCAACTCCAGGATGCTGCTTATTTATCTTGGGCCACAAGGGGACCATAAACCTGCATAATATTCATAAGAGTAACACCAAAATATCAAGTTTGTATTAAATAAAAAAAAAAACTGCCTTCAGATGATATAAAATCTTTACTAAACATTTAGGAAAAAATCAGGCAGCTAAGCTAACCTAATGCTGGCAATTTAAGTTACAGAATTTTATGTTTTTTCTTTCTTTTTAAAAACAAACTTTTTTGTTTTTTCAATATAAACTAATGGAATTTGATACATTATACATTCCTATAGAATTGCTGTAAATAAATGTGCTACTAGGCCTGCACAGATTTTGTCCAGCAGCTCCTTACTCTTGTCTTATTATCCACCTATCCATTTTCTTTACACCCTTGTCCCTTAGTGGGGTCGGGAGGGGTGCTGGTGCCCATATCCAGCCAACGTCCCGGGCGAGGGGCAGGGTACACCCTGGACAGGTTGCAGGGCAACACAGAGACAAACAACCATGCATACACACACCTAGGGGCAATTTGGAGAGGCCAATTAACCTGACATGTTTTTGGACTGTGGGAGGAAACCGGAGTACCCGGAGAAAACCCACGCAGAACATGCAAACTCCATGCAGAAAGACCGGGGCTGGGAATCGAACCCAGAACCTTCTTGCTGCAAGGCAACAGCTCTACCAACTGCGCCACTGTGCAGCCTTTGTCTTTTTAGTTATTTATTTATTTGTCCGTCCAGCTGCTGGTGTGGAACAGCTCCAGCCTCGTCCCCGTGCAGCAGTACAGTGACCACCTGGCGGCCGTCAAGGCCATCGCCTGGTCCCCTCACCAGCACGGGCTGCTGGCCTCGGGCGGCGGCACCGCCGACCGCTGCCTGCGCTTCTGGAACACCCTGACGGGTCAGGCGCTGCAGAGCACCGACACCGGCTCCCAGGTCTGCAACCTGGCCTGGTCCAAACACGCCAACGAACTGGTGAGGAGGATCATCCACACCCACAGTTAACGCAGAGAGATTCCGAGGCTGATTTACTGTGATTTCTCTTCAAAAGCTGTGAACATTCTTCTTGTTGAATTCTTTTTTTTCCCCCAGAATTTTGGATAAATTGAAAATTGAACAGCCTTTTAAAAGTATAGTTAAAATAAAGTAGCAATTTTTCAGAGACGTCCAAGGGTTACAGATAAGTGTGTCACAATAAGGAATAAATCTTATTCATTGCATGATCATTTTCATGATTGTATGTTTTTCTCGTGTCTCTATCACTTCCTATCAAAGACTGGATGATAAATGTCTTCAGTTTGGTGCATTGGTCTCAGCTACACCGCAAAAATGCTAAATCTTACCAAGCATCTCTTTCTAGTTTCTACTGCAAATATCTTAGTGCACTTAAAATACGACAAAACTAACCCACAAGTAAGATTTCAACAAGATGTAGCAGCTTGTTTTAAGTCAGTAATTCTGTTATAGTTCCACTGGCAGATTACTTCACTTAGAACATGGGAGAAATGTCTGGTTATAGGTGAAACTTTGAGAAAAAACATTTTGAGAATAGCTTAGGCTTTTTCACACAGTAACAACTTCCACACAGAAGAGTGTTGTTAGCTCAACCTTAAATATGGTGCATTCGATGGTTGTATCAGACCAGTCCATCTGGTCAGGTGTAAAATCAGCCAGTTGCCTTCATAAGCTAATGTCATGGTTCATTTCTGATCGTATTCCACAAATAAATATATATATTTTTAAAATATTTTTAAACTTTCTTCAGCTAAGTCATATGAAAATGTGTGTGTATTACTTGTTTTTCTTTTTTTTGTCCAGGTAAGCACTCACGGCTACTCTCAGAACCAGATTCTGGTGTGGAAGTATCCGTCTCTAACGCAGGTGGCCAAGCTGACCGGACACTCCTACAGAGTCTTATATCTGGTATGTTAAGAACTGCTTTGACCACATAACCAAACGCGGTTTGGTTATGTGGTCATAACACAAGCAAACTTGGCAGAAACAGTGAGAACATTACATGATCTCACTCTTTTGATTGCTGCTTTCCTTGTACAGATCCCATTCAAATGAAATCCACTTTTTGAGCCATTCTGTCCAAATCAATCCAGTTCATCAGTTTTTTAAGGCTAGCTAAAAAGTTAGCTGCGCTAACCTTAAAGAACATGTGATGCACGTTAGCTTTGCTAACTCTAAAGCACAGTATTTAACAGAAGCTAATGCTGAAGCGCAAAATTATATCTGCCCTTGAAAGACTCCAACGCTCGAGCACCAATATCACTTTGACATAATTTACATGCTCTATGAGACCCATAGATACTGTATTTATGTTTCTAACTTGTTCTGCTGTCTGTGTTTTATCCTGTTCCTGTATGTTTCTATGAAAAGTTATTGAAGTGAAAAAAGGGAGAACATGAGGACAGGAAGCTGCATAAACAGTCTTCACACTTCAAAATAAGAGCATTAATAGAAACGTCTACCTACTTGAAGAATTCTTTAAAGTTAATAAAAACTTCAATACAGACATAGAACTTTATTTAACTGGAAGTTTACAAAACTGGCAAGTAAATTGGTGCTTTAGAATTAATCTGGAAAAATTAATTTAGGGGAAGCTGAGTGTGCTGAACATTTTCATTGTCAGCAAGAACGCCAAAGCACTAAACAAAAAAATCAGCTCCAATATTAGCGCACAAGCAGACTGGCAGAAGTATGTACACCACCGCAATTCATTCTAATGCAACCGAGTCATACTGCTTCAGTCTGTGTTTGTAAATGGATTAATAAATGTCACTACAGGAATAAACTGCAATGTCTGAACCGTTTGGTTGCCGCTCACCACTGTAGTTACCATTTCCAGCAGGGTTCATCTTTGCTCGAGGTCTCATGTTCTCTAACACGGTCCTCACCAGGCCGTGTCCCCGGACGGAGAGGCCATCGTTACCGGAGCTGGAGACGAGACTCTTCGCTTCTGGAACGTCTTCAGTAAAACACGATGCACTAAGGTTAAAAAATTTTTTTTAAACTATTAAAAAAAAACATTTTTTCACAAAAAGTTTTAAACTTTGAAAGTTTAAAACTGAAACAAGTTTTGAAACTGAAAGACAAAATAAAACTGGAAGTAAAGATTTGAAACTAAAAGAAAAATGCTGTCGCTACACTCCATCTTAAAAATCTCCAAATAAAATCATCACCATTTTCTTTCTCTTTCCAAACAGGAATCAAAGTCGGTGCTGAACCTTTTCACGAGGATACGATAGTGGGCAGCCATTGGTCAGGGAGGCTGCAGGAGGATCCTGAGTGGATGAAATTCACAGACTCATAGACCCTCTGCAGTGAGCACCCACCTCCACAGAGACTGTCCTAGTTCAAACATTTTTCTCCACCCCCCCCACGACGACTGGAGCGACGTGCAGCAGATTAAAAACAGAAAGTCGCTATGCGCGCTCTTCTTAAAAAGTCGCTCTTGTTCTCCTTACTGTCGTGGATGTGATCAAGTTGTTTTCTTATCTATTAGCAGATATGAGAGTTCTAAGTTATATGATGTAATGATGGAAGCTTTTTAAAAAAAAAAAAATGAAAAGAAAAAACTTGGAGGAGAAAAGAGGGGGGGAGGGCTGGGCTGAGATAAAGCAGCGGCATGCGACGGGAAAGAGGAACCAATCAGTAAACACTCATTCACCTGTGACAACAGATTGGTTTAATCAGTGTTGTTTTTTTTTTTTTTTTTTTTTTTTTCCAGTAAATGTACATTCATGGCACTGTGACACTTTCTGACAACTATTTTATTAAAAACATGTCCCACAGTGACTCAGATGTGCTTAACCGTCCTCCGAATGCGTCTGTGTTGTCGTGTCCAAGTGTTTTTTCTGTTTTCCAGTGTCTCGTCCTGAGTGGATCGTCCTGTTCCGGGTTGTTCTGCCGACGGCTAGCATTCAGAGAAGCCGGCCCCCTGCAGCCCCCTGCAGAGCAGAGAGAACTCCTTCACCGTCTCCTTAACGCGACGCTTGTTTGTTTGTTCCCTGGAAGGAAGGACATGGTAGGGAAAGCTGTTAAAGCACAAGCTGAGGTCATCAAGTGATTCCTGAGTTTATTTGCTGATTGAGTAAAACAAAAATCATAGATAAAAGATTTTAGTTTTTATTAGTTTGACAGTAGAGGCTTTTATTTTAAAGATCTCAAAACGCAGTGAGATGCTAGGCTCCATAAAACTGGTCAAAGAATTTTCTAGGTTCCCGCAAATAAAAATATGTAAATTTTTAAATGTCTTTTATTACAGTAGCATAATCGAGTTCTGACTGTTTTGAGAAAAAAAAAATCTTTAATTTGCATAAGCTAGTTAATTAAGTACAAAAAAGAAAAATGTACATATAACAATCGTTTTAAAAAATAAAAGTAATTGAAGCATTTTAAATCTTTTTTCAGGTGTCTAAAAAGCTTTTAACTAGCAGTTCATGGCTATGAATTAGCCATAAATTACTATAGTAGTTAGTTCTTAACTAATAATTCCCAAGTGAATGACTAGTTAGGAAGCTTTTAACTAGTATTTTACGACTATTTGTTTCCCTGGTGTATAAATAGGATGTGACACGGTTCCATTTGTTTTAGACACAATCAGAAATTGATAAACTAGCTGAACTAAATTATTACTATTAAGATAATTATTAGTCTATGAAGATTTATCACTGTATAATTATAAGTACTTTTTTTTTTTTTTTTGTTGAAATTTTATGTTTGAGATATCCTTTAATCTCCCATGGCAACCATTCAGCTGTGCAGAACGCCTGTATGGCTCTAGCCCTGCCTTCTTCACAGAGCAGCCCTGACCCACAACGCCCTCACTCAGCTCCTTCAGACTAGCCAGCTGCAATTAGCAAACACCCAGAGTAGATTATAATGCTGGTAAAAACAATAAACGATATTAAAGGGTTAATAGAGGAGCCATGTTGTGATGAATTCCTGAAGGCGGAGAGTTTCAGAAAGAGCAGGAGTTTTTAAAGAGACAGAGGCCAAATTTCAAGGCGTTAAATAACAAAGTCAAATTTCTTTGAAGTCATATTTGATACATAGCACTTCTTTTAATAACTGAATTTAACCTAGTTACTTGATTGTGCTATAAAATAACACTATGTGGCTGGAAAACACATGATACTGTCCCAAAATGTAATACCTGGATCTCAGCAAATGTTGGCGTACCTCAGGATCTGCTGAGAGAAGGTGTGCTTCTGCTCCGTCGTCACATGGGCCGATGGGAACCCGGGGGTCTGCAGGGTTTCTGTGAGCCACTGAGACAGCAGAGCCGGACTGTGTCTGTTCAGACTGAGCAGAACCTCGGAGAAGTTCTCTGCCAGGCTGCGTGAAGAACCGCCTCCGACTGCCTGGGAGAGGAGCAAAGTAGACGCATGAGGGCGGCGACGCTCCTCAGAATAACACCGACGACAAGTTGGTCTACCTGCAGCACCGTCTCTGTCAGGATCTTTCCATCCGTCTGCAGCACGTCGTTCAGAGCTGGCATGTCCTTGCAGCGACTCAGAAAGTCCGTCTGTTGGTAAAATGACAGAAAATGAAAATCAGTCATATGATTTAAGGAAAAGTTTTTCCCGATCTGAAACGTCACACCTCCCTCCCCCGTCCTGTTTGCTGCTTACAAAGAATAGGCAGGCTGCTTTAACAGTGGGCGTCTCTGGGAACTTGATGGACAGAATCCCTGCACAAAAACGGGAGAGGATATTTTTGAAGCCCTGCATTTTGTAGTTTTGTAAAGAACGCTATCCTGCGCTGAAGCTCACCTGAGTAAAACAGAGCTTTGACATCCAGTTGGGTCGACGGGTACAAATCTGGACTCCTTTTCAGGACCTAAATGTTCGACAGACAAAGAGTTCAGCAGCTGTGATGTTTTCAGTTACTGGCTGCGTTTGAATGCGCGTTACACCAACCTGAGCGTGGAGGTTCATGAACGACTCTGCGATGTCAGGATGATCCCTTGGACCTGCCGAGTCACACGGAGAACACAAAGTACCATCACCCAGTGTTGAGTCGCTCAAAATTGCTTCAACTTGCTTCCAAAGATCCAAACTTTATCAGATTTGTTTTGAATGGAAGCTTTTCACGTACCCGGTGATGTTGAATCACCTAAATCAGTGAATGAGCCAGTATTGTGTGTAAAAAAATATATATATTTTAAGGAATTAATATGATAAACATACTTGAAATATGGTTCTTTTAAGTAGAGTGAAATAGTTGTTTTTTTTGGTTGTTTTTTTAATCCTCCTAAAGTTTTTACTCTCCTATTCATCACCTGAGTGAAGTTGGCCCCAGCCCACACGTGTATGAGATATTAACGTTTTGGAAGCAAAATAAACCATGACTCAAATATATGCAACAGTGTAGCCTTCGTTACCTTGCTGGAATACAGACAGTGTGGTTGAGGTCAGCACTTCCACAAGACTCCTGACGTCCGACATGTGCTGCTCCTCTCCAGCAAAGATGTGCACCATCTAAAGAGAACGTGAAATTAATCCTGGCTTTTCCACACCGAGCAATGTTTTTTTTTATTTTTTATGAAATATTATTTGATCCCAGCTCAGATCTGTGGATCCGTGCCTGACGAGTCAGGTCCAGGGCAGGGGCTTGTGGGTAAGTGCTGTAGATCTGTCCCAGCATCTCACTCAGCTGAGCCACCATGGGGCCAAAGTCGTGCAGCAGGGTCCGGACTGATTTATCAAAGACCCCGCACACTCCCTAGGATGGGAGGGTCATTAAGCATGTAAGGGCTGATGAAATATGTATATATCAGTCAGATGAAGCGATGAGTAAGCTAGAAAAAAAAAGAAAAACGAAGAAAATACCTCAACTACTTCCGAGTCGTGAAGCCATTTGCTAATGATGGTCTGGATTAAAGGGAACACTTGCTGCAGCACAACCACAACCTAAACGTGTAGCAAAATAAGGTAAAAATAATCAAAAACATAACCTTTCACTTCATTATTGCGCCATGTTTATGGATTTATTTTTGGTAAACTAACTGGGTTTTGGATGCTCTGTGCAGCTGTGAGTCTGGGGCTGGCGTCTTCTTCGTCTAAGCCATCCGCATGCCTGTTGACATCCAGGGTGGTAAACAGGCTGGACAGCAAACCCAGGATGGACATGATGCCTTGCTTAGTGGCAGGGTCAGGCTGTTGAGATAGAAATTGATTTCGACAGTTACAGATGTTTCTTGGTCTTACTGTCAATTTTTAGGTCATTTAGTGACACTTTAAGCCTCCAAACCTAATTCTAGCTGCAGAACTGATCACTAGCTTCATTTGAAGGGTCAACTGATTTGTTTAAAGGAAATTTCATCTCTTCTACGCCATTATAATAATGTTGAGTTCAGACAAACCTTTAAGAGAAGAAATTATGCTTCCTACTTTTGATTAGTGGAGGCTATGTGTATACACGTAGACGGGTCTATTTAATGTATGCACACAGGATCTGTTTCAGAAAAGGTTTCATCCACATAAACTCACACAAACCCATGTACGCACTAGTGGGCATTTACCGTATCGCTTATAATTTATCGTAATAAATTTCTTACAAGAATTATCATTCATCATTGTCATGATAAATTGTGTCGGTATTGTCAGGACTGTCTTCTTTTATTTAGTATTTTCTCCACTGTTTGTTCAAGGAAAAATATAAATAAATACCAAAATATATGACTAAATGACATAAAGGACATTACCGTGTGCTGTTTCGTGATACAAATCACACTATTTTTTATGTTTGTTTTTTTTTAATCTGACTGGTAAAGAAACATGTTGTAAATAAGTATGTTTTTTTTAAGAGCAGAATTTGTTTGTGGGACTGTGGCAGCTATACAATTAATTTAAAAAAAGTTGTAAGAAATCTTTATCATAATATATCATGATAAAACTTTGAGTCCATATTGCTCACCCCTAGTACACATGCAAACACAAATATTGAGTTTTCTCAAATCTCCACTTTGGTTGGACTTTTTATACATAAATAGTCGTTTTTAGTTTTACAAAACTGAGTTTTTGTGTGCATGAAAGGCCAAAACGCATAAAAATGTATTTGTTTTCCCACATATCCAGATACATGTGGTCTTGGTCTAGGCTTTTATGTTTGCACAGGCCAGACTCCAACGGTTATTTAGTCCTTTTTGTAAACTCCTTTGTGCTTCAGGCTTACCTCCAGCCGAACCAGTGAGTCCAGCTGCTGAATGTGAGGGCTGATGAGTGAGTGCAGTCTGCCTAAAATTTCCTCTGCTGGCAGGGCTGACAGCAGGAAACCCAGGGCCTGCATCAGCCACATGCACTGGCTGCTCTGCACACACACACACCAATGCAGCTGGTTGTTTTAAAATTAAAAACAGAGCTAATAAGGTGTCCAGGCTGCTTACTCACCTCATGGATTTCTTTCACCAGCACGTCCTTATGGAAAAGAGCAGAAAAGAAACAAAGTAATCAAAGTTGTGACGACGTGGAGGCGTGACGGGTTGCGTGTCAGACCTGAGACACGGTGAGGATGTCCTGAGCGTACGGCGCCAGGTCCTGCCGGCACTCCCTGCAGATCCGCTTGAGTGTGGAGATGCTGGAGACGGACAGTTCCGCCTTCACAAGGCCTCGCAGCACCATGGGTAATATGCCACCCAGCATCACCGGGTGGTCCGCCAGCCACTCAGCCAGTGACCCTGCTCGACATTTTTGCCTTGTCACTACAGCAGCCTGAAGCGGACTCCGGTTTCACGAAGATGGTTTGAACCAATTTCTGATCACTTTCAAGATTATTTATAGAATTTAAACTGGGGATGCAGCGATCCACGTTTTTCTGCTTGCAATACCAGTACCGATATCTGAGGTTTAGCATCGGCTGATACCGATCCGATGCAGAAAAACAGGGCTGAATTTACTTCAAATATTTATTTTCTTTTTTCTTTAAACACAGGCTTTTAGGAGTCAATTATGGTAGCCAATGTAAAATATACACTAAAGAAACTGACACTGACAAAAGCATGTTCAACTTGATCGAACATGTTAAAATAAACGGCAGCAAACCTTTCAAATGGTTCAGAAAGTGGATTAGAAATTCTAAATATAACATAAAAGAAATAATAATGTCGCTCAGAGCACAAAGTGTAGAATTAGATTGGATAGATTTACCCTTATGGATTGTCACACATACACCTACTTTTTATCAATATTGGAACTGATACAAGTATTAGTATTGGATCGATGCATCTCTAATTTAAAAGTTAGATTGAAAAACATTATCTGTTTTAAGTGACTGATTAGAGCCTTTTACTTCAGATAAACCAAGTCAGGGTTTATACCTATGGTGTACATGACGGTGTCGGCCAGCATCACGTTGCTGATGTTGATTCTAGGGATCAGACCGATGAGACCAGGAATAACATCAGAGTAGTTCACGTCGATGGTCTCGGCTATAGACTGGAAGCCGAACAGCAGCGCTTCGATGTCCTTAGGAGAGCAAAAACAGCAGGTTTCAATCAGCCAGTTTATTCACTGGATTTAACTAATTTCATCATTAATTCACAAACGCGTACTCCAACACTTACTACACAAAAGTGCAGGAAGGAGAAAAAACCATGAATAAACCGTGCCCTTTCTCAGTAATTACAAAATTAATGTTCATGTCTGTTTTAAATCAAATAAAATCTTTATTCATTTTGAACTAGTAAAAATATAAATGTATGCATCAAGTTAAATAAGTTGCAAACAATATATAATTCCCCTCATAATTAATTCAGAATTATAAATTAATTCAGAATTATATTAATGTTACCAAATTAATATGAAACCAAACTGAAAACCTACAGCTTGTGATACAAGTGCAGCTCAGTAAATGATATCACTAAAAAGTTCACCATTTCAGTGAAAGTCTTATGATTATAACTTGCAGCTAAACAAAACAAAAAATGATTTCTCAGAGAAATCTGAAAAAAAAAGAAAACGCCAAATCAAAGTTGAAATTAGACCAACTGAATTGAAAAGGATCAACGAGCCGAGAGAGGAAGAGGAAGTTAAAACCATATCCTCCATCCATTATCAGGCAAAGATCATATCCCCTACTCCAGCATCTCTCTGTCCAGTTTTCTAACCATATGGTCAGACCAACTATTGGGTGGACATGTCATAAAGTACATGAACACACTTCTCAGTAGCAAAAATGTCTTTATTAGTCTTATGTACTATTCAGATTTTCTGAGTAATCCAAATAAATGTATTCTAATTTACTGAGATGCACCTGTTCATTTCACTTCAATTCACCTGCAGTTCACAAGCACTGGCATTTTTCTATTAGTGGGACAGTAGTGCCATTTTGTATATCTTCCAATGCAACATATATCAAATACAGCTTAAAAGAAGTTTTACTTGGTAATTTAACGCCTTGAAGTTGGGCCTCTGTCTCTTTAAAAACTCCTTTCTGAAACTCCACCTTCAGGAAGTCATCGCAACATGGCTCCTCTATTAACCCTTTAACAACGTTTTTACCAACGTTTTTATCAATGTTGCACTGAAAAGTAGCTCACATAATGAGCTCAGCAGATACAGAGTTTCACAAGGTGTTTGTTAATTTCTTCTGGCTAGTCTGAAGGAGCTGGGTGGGAGAATCACCAGGGGAGGGCTGCTCTCAAATCAATCAATCAACTTCATTTATACGATTAGGTAGATTTGAGCATCTGTGAGGCTGAAGCACAGAAACTTGGAAACTGCAGCTCAGAGGAGGAGCTTCATCCTCGAAGGCGGAGCTAGGTCCACCTAGGTGTTTTGTACAACTGAATGGTTGCCATGGGAGATTAAAGTATCTCTCAAACATTCATGAAGGAATCAAAACAACACTCCAGGTATGTTTTTGATGAGGAAATAATATAACATGATGTAAAGCTCAAAAAAGTCGATTTTGCATAACACTGCCCCTTTCAATTCTTAAATACTTAAGTTTGTTGATGTCATTACCTGCCACACCGCTGACTGTTGGGGGTCCATGAGCAGCCTGCCCAGCCTGTCATAGAGGTTACTAAGCAGCTCCGCTCCCAGCATTTCATACACATACATTAGAGTATCTGAGATGTCCACCCTTGGGGATAAAACAGCCGACAGGTTGAGGGTAAATTGCAGGTATGAAGCAGCTAAATATGCAGCGACTGGATGAATTTTGTTTACAAATCCAGAAGTTACAATATTTGTGCTGCCAAAGTAGTTCCACATTTTGTAGCGTTATGACAAAGTATTTTACTGCAATTTTTATAGATTAAAAAAAAGGGATTACATTTTTTTTCTAATAATTTTTTTTTAATTATTCCATTTCCCACATGCAGACTGAACTCTTCCGTTCATGTTTTCAGATCGGATGGAAAGCATTTGTGAACATGAGTTTTCAGGTCTTATGATAGAGTCTAAATTAATTTTTTGTCTGAACTTTGACTGGGCCATTGTATTTCTGTTTGTATGTTCAGGGTTGTTCTCTTGCCAGAACAAGACCTTCCACCATGGCTCTTGATATTTTTCAAAAAAAAAAAAAAAAAAAAAAAAAGGAAAAACCAAAAAAAAAAAAAAA